TACCGTTAACCAAAGTTGACCAATTTTTGCTCAAAATTTTTCTATGCCATAATTTTTTTGAGCAGTGTATATATATAGGTATATATATATATATATATATTGTGTGTGTATATATATAATTGTATAATATAATTTAATGTTAAAATATATATTTAAAATATATGGATAAGTATTAAAGATACTTACTTATATGGGCCCATTTTATTTCCATTAAACTTATCTACTTCATCGTACCATTGATTTTTAATCATTTTTGACAAACTGGGCAGTTTGCCCGTAGTGGAATATTCGGCTATGTTCTGACCAACTTGAAATCTATCTGTAATGACATGCATCATTTGCTAATAGATAGATTTATTATATATATATTTATTATATATATATTTAATTTACAAATACAATTATATAAATTACAAATACAATTATATAAAATCTACTTACCCACATCTCTGCATTTGTCATGATCGAAATTGCATTGATTGGCCCATCTTTGTGCAATCGTTGCTATTTCGTCATCCCAGGTCTAAGAAAATATGTGTATGTAATTTTATATGCATATAATTTTATGTATAATTTCATATGTATCTGTATACTGTTACGAAAGTTTGGAAAAAAATTCCATAATTTACAATTTTATATGTTGTAATATAGCATATTCTAGTTTGTATTGTGTATGTAATATATTTTATAAATATTAATATTCTATCAAATACATTCTTTTTGTATTACATGATATTAAATTGTAGATAATATTTCGAAATTCTTGGTTAATTATAAATAAATATCCGTCAGAAGAAAATCTATAGTATCTTTATACATTTACTTTACACAGACGATCACGATATAGTGTCATTTAAACATTTCATAAAACATTTTGAAATCAATTTAATTAATGTTACTTATAGTATTAAGCAACACATTGTTGTTATGCTAATTTTTTGGTTAATATATTATAATCTTAAAAAACTATTGAATTTTTTAAAACTCTCGTAGTTCAATCATAATTTTAAATTTTTTTTTTAAATTTGAAGTAAAATTTAATTGTTTAAAATAAATTAAGATATAAATATTTATCTAACGTTTTTTCGATTATTACATATTTTAACTTATTATTAATAATGTATTATAATATTATGTCTTACTAAGTCTGGCATGCTAACTGCCGCAGGTTGTGGACCTGGAGCTCCTCTGGTTTCCTGGCCTGATGCGACTTTTTGTCTCAATCGATTGTGCGTACTTACTATTTCATCTTTCTGAACCTTACTAAGACCAAAAGTAGATCCTTGTCCACAAGCTGCCGCTGGATTTGGTGACTACGGTATTTTTAGAATTAGCTAAGTGCATAATGTATAGATTACATCGTTTTATTAAGTATCTTAATAATATTTCTAAAAAAATAAAAATGAAAGTTTTTGTTTAGAGAAAATAAAAGAATTTTTTATACATTACATATATACATATTTTTCGTAAGTTAAGAAAAGAAAGAGAAGAAAATAACTTTTTCTATACATATCTTAAATATATGTATATGTATATTTATATATATTTATATCTATACACATATTTGGTCATCCGGAAGGTTCTGCGGTTTTCACGGGACTAAGTTTAAATGGTCATTTATTTTTTGCAAAATTTAAACTAGTATTCGCGCAGATGAAAAAACCGCAGAATTTTCCGAATAATCCAATACATGTACAGTCGTGGACACATCGGTTGCGACACTTTTTTTTATAGGTTTCTAATATATATTTAATATACATAATATATAGTTTATAGATAACTAATATTTTGTAAATGCGAACCACGATGTACTATATCTTTAGTCTAGAGACAGTATAACACTAATCGTGGTCCGCATTTGCAAAATATTAGTCCGTTTTGAAACCTATAAAAAAGAAAGTGTCGCAACCGATGTGTCAATGACTGTACATATGTAGAAAAAATATACATGCAACTAATCTTACTTACGGTATACTTGCACATTGTATGATCTTTAACGTTTACTTTTTTATACGTGCACGACTTCACATTGCAATAATCTGTCGCGGCAATAGTAGCAAATACTTCCGCCATTATGGCAAAATACAAAAAAGAAGCTACTGCAGCCATAATATTTTTTTGTATTATTATTCTTAGATATCGAAAACTTCTTTTTTTGTATTCTTATTCTTAGGTATCGAAAACTTATTTTTAAAGAATACAACTTTGTATGTAGAAAGAAGTTTCAATTTTTATCCTTTATATACTACACGTTATCACTTAAAAATGTTATCATTAATATTATAGGCATTATAAACTGTTATCATTAAACTTTTTATGTAATTTTTATGCATTTCCTACTAGATAATATTTTATTTTTTTCATACATTATAATTATTCCAAAAATGAACATTAATTTTTCTGACTTTAATTTATAAAATTATAGTGAGTTATACTACGTAGAATTTTTAATTATTTTTTAATTGTGTTATTACCATTTTTGTTTTTTATTGTTTTATTTTTTACTATCGTTTTGCATATTAATAATAAAAAAAAATATTTTATAATATAAAGATTTTTTTTGCAGATTGCGTTCTTTTATGTTTTGCAAGCATTTGATGCAATATACAATCTGAAATATTATTTATAAAATTCCATGAATTTAAAAACTATTTTTGAAAATTCAGGCATTTAAAAAAATTTTAAACAGTGAAATAAATCATTAATACAATTAGAATAAAAAACTACATTAGATGTAATCAAGATAGTGATTAATAGATAATTTATCTTCTCTTTGCCTTTTGGAAAAAGGATTTATTATTTTATTTATTATTTTAATTGCATTTCTTGTTTTTATGTTTATTATTATCGCAGTTTGCGTTTCCTGATAATTTAATATTATTGATATTAAAAGTTTAACATATAACATTAATTCATGAATTTCAAACATATTATCTGGTATATTATTTCATTAAATTAAGTGTAAAAATCACTATATGTCTTTCTTTTTTAGCTTTATGTATGTATTTGGTTCAAAGATAAATAAAAATTTTTAGTAATCGTTTTTAGAAATCAGAAGAATAATTCTGTACGTAGAGGACTGTTATATAAGGACATTATCATTATGTAATTATTATGTTATTGAAGGCAATTTATAATAATTTTTATATTTTTCTAATATTTTTAATTGTACATAATATAATATCATATAAGTGTAATAAAACACTTTAAAAAATTGAAGCAATTTATCTCTTTTGTAACACCAAATGGAAAAATGCATTAAAATTTATTTAAGTAAATAAATTAATTCATTAAACTCATTAAAGCAAATAAAAAGTAAAAACTATAATAATTTGATATAATAAACAAAAAATTATGCAAAGCAGAAAAGAACGTTAGTCTAAATAGTTTTCATTTTATTATTTTTAAATACTGTTATATATTTACTAGTATAAATAATTCAAACATGCAGCAAATGCCATTGATATCGTAGAACGTAGAACGTAGATCGTAAAACGTAGAGTATTCAAACTTCATCTTAACTGTAGTAATGTATTTAACGATTAAAACAAGAAAAATGTTGCTTATTCTCATTTATATATTGTTATGTAATAATTAAAAAAATTTTTATAATTACAATAAGTATTATTGTGTTGCAGCTTTGTAGCTCTTTGTGAAAGTATATCATGTATACAACGAATTTATTTTCATTTATTTAATTTTCTAAAAATTTATATATTATTAAAATTATAAATTTGTTTTGTTTATTTTAAATCTTCTTGATTTATTATAACAGCAAAAATTATACAATTATTATGTCATGTTTTAAGTTATGTTAACACATTTAACAATTGTAGAGAAAGTATTTATCGAACAAGAGGAATTTTGATATATTTTGATATAAAATATAAAATATTTCATATATTTTTTGTCAATTATTTTATATTAATAATTATTCTTGAACAGAATAATAGGACTAATAATAAAAGGCATTGTTGCTTTACAATATATTACAACAAATGTGTATAATACGTATATTGAAATATGTATTTCAAGAATTAAAGAAAAATCATTTATTTATTCATTGCATATCTTTATTATTAAATATATTGTAACAACAGAAATTATATGTATTGTTATATTTGCTTGATATTAAAAGGCACTATATTTAATAGTTATTGAAAATCTTGTTGTCAACAGATATTAACAGAAAGAAAACAGAGGAGGAAAGAAAAAAAAGAATATTATATGTCTCTCTATTGACACTATTATAAAAATTACGACTATATAGTTTTAGCGATAAAATATATTGTTGTGCATTTTCCATATTTCTGTGCTGCTTTTTTAAATTTCATTTCCATTATTTGCTGGACAGATTTATTTCCTTTTATATACTTCCGAACCATCGATATTTCCACCTGGACCATAGTTGCAAACTAAGTAATGCACATTCCAAACACCTTCTTTATACTTTGCTTGTCCGCAACCGATTTTTGTCGTGTCAGCCCAGACCATTTGAGAATAATGAGCTGTAGGCTTATCAAGTCTATAAATAAATTGTTTATTAGTTTCATTAAAAAATATATTGTATGCATTTTAAAGTAATTTATTGATTTAAATTAATACTATTCTAATACTATTTACAAGAAAAAATTTTTTAAATGTATACAGAAACAGAGGCATTTAAAGTGTTGTAAACTATTATCTCTGACAGTATCTATCATAGCGAAAAATACTATAGACAAAAATTGTATTGTCTGATAGGGAAGAAATAATAGTAAAATCAATTTTTGACAAATTCGTATTCAGTAACCCCCAAAACGTTAATTTATGGAAATAGTAAAATTTCCTAGCCTCCTGTACTTCAGTAATTAAAATTAGCTTTCAACATTTTTTGACGACAATCCATACTAATCACGATTCTAAATCCGCAATCTTGAATTTTTAAAAAGGCCATACGGCATAAATAAGTAAACACTTCAACAAAAATTTTAAGACCTTTTTAAATATTTTATCTCAAAAATTGTAGTGGACAGAAAGAGTGGCCCTTTTGATAGAGAATGCCCCACATATATGATTAAACATATGTTAAAATAT